ACCCAGTAAAACCCAGTTTTGAAAATCAAAACAACCAACCAACCAGCCAGCAAACAAACAAACAAACAAACAAACAAGACACTAGACCTTCTCAGTCAGAAATCTCTTTCTGGAAGCACTTCAAACATTAAAGAAGCTTTTTTAAAGAAACGGAAACATTGTCAGGCTATCAGTTTTCTTCCTCAAATAACTAAAATAAATTTACTAGGGCCAATCTGCAGGAAACAGTGTGTTTTAATTTTCTTTTCAGAACGGATCTAACTGTGCTTTCAGGCTAACCCAGACCCCAGGGCTCAAGTGAGCTCCCTCTCTCAGCCTCTGATACAGCTGGTATATGCTACTTCACTTAGCTTGTTTTTCTTTAAGAATTTTTTTTTTTAATTTTCTTCATTTAATTTTTTGGTCAGGTTTTAGAACCAGGGTCACCTTAAGTTACCTACGATGCTCAGCAGGTCTCCACCTCACTATTCTGCCTCTACACCTACAGTGCTGCTTTCTAAAAATAAAAGTTTTACTACATTGTCTAAGCTACACTGTGTAAGATACATGTGTATTATATAAGATACATGGGTATTAAAGTGGTTAGGATGAAACAAATGGACACTCATCTGTCAGTTCTCTGGTGTCACCCAGGCATGGCTACAATGTACCACTTAGCCAAAACCTTGCACTGTTCCTAACTGTGGCTTTATGCTATGCATTAGCTCAGTCTAGCCGCTCAGTCTACTGGTCCTCCTGCAAATTCCATACTTTGTATCTTTCTTCCTATATCTTCAATTATCTAACTGCAGTCCTAAAGTGAATTCTTTTTATCAATGCAAAAGCTGCCAATAGACAACTGTCTAGTTTGAAATGCAAATGATAACACTACCAGAATGTACACACCTCTTTCACAAAAATTAGTCTATTCACCTTCTCCAATTCTACATTTGCTCCTGTAAACACTCCACAGGCAGTCTTACAGTGTGCCGTCCTATAAAGACTGGATTCTAGATAGAAAGTCTGTTTGCTAATCAAAGAAGATTTTTTTGTATTAAATTATAAGAATTTTAATTGGGAAATTTATTAGAACACAGGACCAACGCTGGGTCAGGCTGATCCCCACATGGGTCAGCTGGATTCCATGTTACTTCAGCTCTTAACCATGATGGTTTCATTTGACTTACCACACCTGCTACAAAGCAGCTCCTGGCAAGTATCTAGATGAAGCTGCCACACTTCCTTTTAACAAACCTAAATTCGGGTTCCCACGATTTCAAAGCCAAAATAGCATATCCTCTCTCATTCTATATTTTGCCTAAAAATTTACGTTGCCCTTGATAAGAAACATCATGCTACAGAGGACCACATCTCCAAAACCATTAGCTATACTTGAAACTGGGTCAGAAAGTAGTCGGTTTCAACACAACAACAGCAGGTACCCTACTCGTTTTACAAGAGTTCAAGAGTTCCACAGGTCCTTCCCAAGTACTCTCTACTCAATGCCAACAGACTCAGTAGACAAAGCGCTGATACAGTGTTAACACATAGGTGTCACAATGACACCCCAGGAAATGACTGAGCCCTCTATTCATCTTATGATACTCAATAAACAAGCACTGGGTGCTCACTAAAGGAGTTTGATGTCACCGCTGAACAGGAAGAGACTTCTTAGAACCGTCTTCCTGCCAGAATCTTCTCGGTTTGAGAATGGAAGCACTTAGAAAAAGAAGGAAGAAAGAAAGAAAGAAAGAGAGAAAGAAAGGAGGAGAAAGAAAGAAAGGGAAGGAGGGAGGGAGAGAGGGAAGGAGAAAGAGAGAGAGAGATTGATTTTTCATGTATCCCAAGAGAATCAGACTCTCAGAGTAGAAAGACATTTTAAGCATCAAAGAGCAATGTTATAGCTGTGTCAGCCAATGAGGGAAGCACTGGCTACAGATGACTCTTGGATATTTGCAAAAGGGTCAGCCTAATTGAGATGTGCTGAGTCTTAGCCACATCAGAGCTGCAGACTTAGCAGGAAATCTTGAAAACTACTGCAGTACTGATGATACACAGAGGAGTAAAGCCACTAAGACTATTTCCACTTGGTAAGTGGGACTGGTAGTAAAGTTTTAGAATTATTTTCCCTTCATTCTGATGCAAACCAGAACTGTCATTTAGTATTTCCCAATTTCGGTTCTCATTTAAAAACTACAAGAAAAAAAAAAAAAGAAAAGAAAGAAACCAGTAGTTTCTTTTCTCAAGCAATTTGATTATGATAACTTAATAAAGAAAAATAATTTAAAACCGGCCATAAAGAAACCAGCAGGCACTATCAGAAAGAAAAAATACTTCAAAGGCACAAAACTTGCACAAGATACAAAAGCCCAAACTGCTAAGCAATTGTGATAAAAATACTTTAATTAAGCTTTTCTAAAAATGTAGGTCTAAATGCTGATTATAAGATTCATTTTAGCCGGGCAGTGGTGGCGCTCGCCTTTAATCCCAGCACTTGGGAGGCAGAGGCATGCGGATTTCTGAGTTGGAGGCCAGCCTGGTCTACAGAGTGAGTTCCAGGACAGCCAGGGCTACACAGAGAAACCCTGTCTCGAAAAAAAAAAAAAAAAAGATAAAAGAAAAAAAAAAGATTCATTTAAAAAGTGAATGGACATTTATTTCACTTTTTAGCATCTGGGCCCTAAGGGTGGGTTGCTTTCTGTATTACTCAAGTACCTGCAAATGCAGACAAGTACACCATTAACACTACGCAGAGGGAAACAACTGGGCACATGGCAAAGACCTGCAACCCCAGTGATGCTGAGTTAACTGAGGGTGAGGGCTCAGGCAGGAAAGCATTTATTGGGAAATCATGGAAACCTGAGTCCTGATCCCGAAAGATACACATCCATAATCTCGGTGTGTAGGGAATGGAAGCAGGCAGATCCCTGGTGACTGGTGGCCAGCCAGACCAGCAGGATCGTGAGCTCCAGGTTCAGAAACAGAACATGCCTCCGAAAAACAGTGGACAGTGACAGTCATGTGATATTGCACCACACAAGCACATATGCATACCACATACACAAACAGAAACAGGGGGCTCGGGAGGTAGCTTCGAGGCAGAGCACTTGCCTGTGCAAAGCCCAGGGTCTGACCCCTAACAAAGAAGGAGGACGATAAATATAACTTTTTCTACCATCAACCGCTCAAAAGGAAGATAAACTCGGCCCTAAGTTTCCTAGGATTGATTAGGCTGTGGTCCATAGGCATTATGAAAAATGTAAGATGTTAGGTAGGAATTCAGGGCCTTACACAAGCCAGACAAGCTGTCTACCATTGACCAGTACCCCTGCCTTAAGAGGCTTATTTTAAAATTGAAAAACTCAAGGATACACTTGGTAAGTAAATTTTGTTATTGCTCTGATATTTTAAAAAATCATTCTGAAGGAGGAACTGAGAGGAGAGGAGGGAGGGGAGGCAAGGATCGTGATATAAAGTAAATTAATTAATACATAAAAATTCTAAAAACAGCCGGGCGGTGGTGGCGCACGCCTTTAATCCCAGCACTCGGGAGGCAGAGGCAGACGGATTTCTGAGTTCGAGGCCAGCCTGGTCTACAGAGTGAGTTCCAGGACAGCCAGGGCTACACAGAGAAACCCTGTCTCGAAAAACCAAAATAAATAAATAAATATTCTAAAAATATCATTCTGCCATATTCAATTGTTAAAATATAGCTCTGGGGAGAGATGTAAATCTAGAATATTTCTGAGTTTATCAGAATGCCCATTTTGGGGCAGGGGGGCAATCACCTTTCCTTTTTTTCTTTTCCTAAAACATGGCTTTACTATACCTTAAACTAGCCTTTAATTCTATGCACCCCAGGCTGGTCTCAAACTGGTGGGTCCTCAGCCTCCTGAATGCTAGGACTACAAACGTTCACCATCATGCCTGGCTAGAATATTTCAATTAGGAAAGGATGTTTAAAAACAAAACAAAAACTTAACAAAATTAATATCAATAAATAACAGTTAATAGCTTCTACATTGTGACTTATAAGAGAGAGAGAGAGAGACAGAGACAGAGACAGAGAGAGACAGAGAGGAAACAGAGAGACAGAGAGAGGCCATCTTCAGGTGTCAATTCCTTATGCCCTAGAGTTTCATCAGCTGAGGATAATAATCTTCAGGCTACTTGGCAGGTGACACATTCTTCAGAAACTCTTTCCTTGTGCATTTAAATGCCAAGCTCAATTATGGTGCCAGCAGAGTAAGCAGAAAGGATTGTACATATTTTAAACTAAGAAGTTGATTGGCTGCAGCTTCCTGCCTTGACGGAAAGGATAATGGGTAAAGCTTTGAGTACGATCCCCAAACATCGAAATCACTCTCAAAGAAAAGGATCTTCTAACACTGCCCCAAAGACTGCCAAAATTCCCATTAGAGCATCCTATTTTTAGTCTTTGCAATCGGCCTTTTACATTGCATTCTACAGTACAATGTGCTTAACTAAGTTTACACAGAGAATAAAGAAGCTTCCTAAGGCTCTAATCCCTTTAAACACAGGAAGGAATTTTAAGCTTTCAAATATTAATTTTTTTCAGCCTTAAATTTCAGTCTTGCAAACATGCATACTAAAAAGAAAAGGTAAATCTTGGCCCAGAGGAAGGAAAAGACGGGAGGCACTAGGCGGTTCCTGACAACCAAAGAGGTAGCTGTGGAGGGGAAAGAAGGTCTGAGAGCAAATAAAAGCCACCCGCAGGGAAGCCGGCACAGGCGACCGGCCACCGAGACAGAGACTCCGACGCGGAGTAAAAGCCGCAGGGTCCCGGGGGAGGGGAGAGCGCGGGGAGAAATTGGCGCGATGCGCGACAACCGCGTACCTACAGAAAAGTGGGGAAAACGGGAGAGCCGAGAGGGGGCGGATGCGAGGGGACCCGCTGCAACTCCCGGGAGGACAGCGCCCGGGGAGGAGCCAGCGACTCTCCCTAGCTCAGTGGCCGCCGCCAGCTGGCGGATCCCCTGCAGCCCGGCTGCTCATCTCACCTGGCCATCCGAGGCAACGCAAGTGCTACCGCCGGGCGCCGAGTCTGTTTCCAGCCCTGCTCCCTGACATGGCGGCCGACGAACTGTCACACAGCCAGCTCCAGTCTCCCGCGGCACTGGAGGATCGGACACCTCTAGCCTTCCCGCCCCGCCTCCCTCTGCGCACCCCTCCCGGCTGGCGGCCGGACCGAGGAGCATAGAAGATCGCGGCTAGAGAGGAAGTGCGGAGGGCGGGCGACCATAGAGTTCCAGCCCGGACACACCCGGAGAGTCCATTCACAGGAGCCTAGGGGCGGAGCCTGGGCGGAAGCGGAAGCGAGTGAGGAAAGGACCGAGGCGAGGGCGTTCGCCTGCGCCATTCGTAATGTGTACTTCCGCCCGGCCTAATGAGGTGGTGAAGTGTGTGCACGTGTGATGTGGTGCTCCGTGTTCTTCGCAGAGGCGACCCTAACTGATGGTTGGGGTGGACATTAGAGGAAGATGAGGGGACCGGCCATGGGGCTCCCCCCGCGGCTGGTGTTATCAGTGTTGGCGGGCCGCGGCCGGTCTTGCATTCTGGGGTCCGGAACAGGGACTCGGAAGGACTGGCAAGCAAGTAACCGCCGAGGCTTCTCTGACTTCTCCAGGAAGCCGTTGCGTGATTCTAATTTCGAGGAGTCGCCCTCATGGACATCCAGATACCGATCGGAGCCTACGCGTCACATAGCATGTAAGAAATCGGCCAGGAACCTGGTACGAGATCTGGTGGAGCACCAAAACCCATCCCGCCAACTTATACTAGAGTGCAATCCAGGTGAGCTGAACAGAAAGTTTGCCCTTAGCTTTTACGTCCCTAATATTGTAAATTAGTGTTTATTTATCGTGTATGCATGCGTGTTTAGGTCAGAAGACAGCTTAGCGAGAGTCAGCTCACCCCTTACACTGTGTGATCTCAATGATTGAAATAAGTGTTCAGCCTTCACGCCAAGCGCCGTTGCCTTCTGAGCGTTCTTGTTGGCCCTGTTTTTTCTTTCTTAAGCGTCACTTTTTACAGAGAGTCGATTCCGTTTAGACTTGATGGTAATTTTTATGGCTAAGCATTCAAATAGTCCGTGAGTAAGAAGCAAGCGCAGTCTTACATACTATCTTACATACTTGTTTTTCTTCTAAGAAATAGTGACATTTGTTGAAGACTGTAAGTGTTGCTGTTACTAACAGACGTCAGGCTGTACTGCTTACCTGTTGAGATGTTGTGGGTTCAAGTTAACTGCCTAATCATCGTTTTACATACATTAAAAGAATCTTATCTGGGGACGTTGTGCCGTTGAAACTTGTGTAACGACACTTTGAAAGTGACTATGGTGGGTTGCATTGCTACACACCTTTCGAGGCCAGCATGGTCTACAGAGTGAATTCCAGGACAGCCAGAGCTACACAGTGAGATCCTGTCTTAAAAACAGAGATTGGGAGAGAGACATTATGCTGTTTATTTTGCAAATAAAGTTTTTCTGTTAATATACCAGGTCCTGGAATCCTGACTGGGGCATTACTTAAAGCTGGTGCCAGAGTGGTTGCCTTTGAGAGTGAAAGGACTTTTATTCCACATTTGGAGGTATATTTTTATGTTCCTAAAGTAATTTGTTGTTCTGTCCACTAAGTTTGAGTGAGTTAAAGAAGTAAAATTAAGCACATCATTTCTTCTTATGGACTTTTTAGCAACCATGTTTAATATCTGTGTAAAGAGTAGGACCTATTGAGTATTCCATTCTTGTTGAGTATCTAAAAGTTTGGGAGTCCTGAAATCTGTTTTCTAGTTCCTACTGGGGTCCAGAAAATGATAATCTCAAAGTGTGACTCATTGACGTACTGAGTATTGTGGAATAAGGGACAGTTGGAAGTCTTCAGATGTAGCCTCAGAAATAAAGTGTTTCTGCCCTCCTATTCTTCAAATTGAGCCCTAGAGACCAGAACTACTATTCTCAGGATAGACATAGAAGCTAGGGCCACCTCACTGCAAAAGAAATGGTAAGCCTGTGACTTATTCTAAGCTTACTGTGTGAGAACTGCCTGTAAAGGTAGTCTTTGGCCTCTCTTGATTCCTAGTAGATCATGAGTTCTTTGTCAGAAGCACTTGCCCTTTGCCCAGGAGGAAGGAATGGCATAAACAGAGAGCCTAAGAATCTGAACAGATGGGTCCTGGGTCTGCTCCCACTTTTGGTTGGTTCTAGTAGATCACACTCCTTTTATTCTGGCTCATCTCCACATAGCTACCCATTCTCCATTGACTCTCAGCATAAAATTGGGTACTTTCTCTAAATCTACATATGACCACTTGTTACATAAGGCTTCCATTAATGAAGTTGTTGCTATACTTTTCAATTGTTAATCTACCTTTTGTTAAATGAATGTAGTTTGTTCCCTTAAGATCAGGAGGAAATATGCCCCATCTTCCCTTCCTATACAGTCTAGCTGAATGATATATAATTGATCACCAAGCTCATGTCCCCATCTTCAGTAAGCTGTGCTGTGGCCCTGCCATGTGTGAACGTAACATTCAAGAGTGAGTGCTAGGGCTGGAGAGATGGCTCAGTGGTTAAGAGCACTGACTGCACTTCCAGAGGTCCTGAGTTCAAATCCCAGCAACCACGTGGTGGCTCACAACCATCTGTGATGAGATCTGATGCCCTCTTCTGGTGTGTCTGAAGAAGAGTGAGTGCTAAGGTCAGGTTAATGGGTGAACTCTGTTCTCTCTGTGAACTCTTGAGTTTACTAAGGACTTCAATTGAAGCAAAAAAGGTTTGAGATGGATAAGTAGAGTTGCAGAATGCTATTATTTTTTTTTTCCAAATGACTGTTTCTGAGTCTTTAACTGACAGCTGACCACTTGAGAGGAAATTAATTTAGGAAATATACGATCTATACCAGCTTCCTGAAAGCATGAAGAAGGAATGGCCTGAATTTAAAAGTGCAGCAGGACAATGAAAAAGTTGTGGAAATAACTACAATATCTAAAGATTGAATTGTTTCAAACTGAAACTTTAGAGTGTTGAGTTGTTGTTGGCTGTTGGTGGGGTTATGCTCGGTGGTTAGAACAGCTAGTTGGCCTAGCACAAACAAGGTCCATGGCAAAACCAGGGTGTTGAGAGTGGGACTGGCAGATGAAGTACCACACACCTTCAATTCCGGTGCAGAGGTAGGAGAGTGAGAGTCATTGGTTCCAAGGCTAACCTGGTCTATCTTTGAAATTTTAGACCAGACAGGGCTACATAGTGAAAATGTAAAACAAACTGTTTTGTAATTGATAGCATTGAAGATAAAAACAAGAAGAGAAAAGCTAGTAGATCAGATTGGCAGAGATCTTTTTGTTTCTGCCTCCCAAGTACCTGCAGTCTTAACCTGTGGGAGACAGAAGCAGAATCAATCACCCGAGTTGGAGATTGGCCTCATCTACATCGTAAAGTCAGTCCCAGGCCTGCCAGGGCTACACAGTGAGACCCTGCCTTAACATCCTACACCCTCCAAAAGAGAGCCAGCTTTATAAACAGCTAAGGCATTAACAACAGCAACAATTAAAAAAAAAAAGATAAAAGAAAATTTGTTAGTGATCTTTTTTTTTTCCTGTTTTTTGATACAGGTTTTTCTGTGTGCCCTGGCTGTTCTGGAACTTGCTGTTAGACCAGGCCAGCCTCATCCACCCGCTCCTGTCTTCTGAGTGCTGGGATTAAAGGTGTACACCATCATGCCTGACTTTTTTTTGAGGGGGTGTGAATTTCGAGACAGGGTTTCTCTGTGTAGCCCTGGCTGTCCTGGGACTCACTCTGTAGACCAGGCTGGCCTCGAACTCAGAAATCCTCCTGCCTCTGCCTCCCAAGTGCTAGGATTAAAGGTGTGCGACACCACCACCCGGCTTTTTTGTTTTTTGTTTTTAAATGTGGTGCTGATGGTTGAATCCAGAGCTTTGTATATGCTGCACAAGTACTGAACTACTGAGCTCCATGGAAGCTCATGGGCCATGGGCCACCATGGAAGGTCACTTATGTTTCATAACTCTTTTCTTAAGAAAACTGTTGCATTTGATCATTTCTCAGACAGTAGTTGATTTTTATTTCCTTTGCTAAATTTGAGGTTTATTAGAACTATTTATATCTTCATGAAAGATCTTTGAATTATTTTATTTTATTTGAGGTGCTGGAGAGCCCCCTGGATGTTTGGCAAGTGTTCTACCATTAAGTGCTCTACCTTCCAGCCCTTGGATTTTTAAGACCAGACCTCACTGTATCATAGAGATGGGCTGGTCTTAGAGTTGCTGTGTAAATGGGGCCCTCCTCGAATTTATAATTCTGTCTCAGTTTTTCTGAGTGATGAGATTTCAGGCACGCTCCACCAGCTGCTTTTATTTTTATTTATTCTTTCTTATTTTTTGAGGTAGGTCTTGAATTGTACATGTTGATAAATTTCTAATCTCACCTCTCTGTCTCTTCAGTCCTTAAGGAGGAATATGTATGGAGAGCTACAAGTGGTTCACTGTGACTTCTTTAAAATGGATCCTAGGTATCAGGAAATGGTAAGACCGGATATGAATTCACATGCAATTTTTCAGAACCTGGGAATAAAAGCAGTTCCTTGGTCAGCAGGTAAATTTTGTCATTCACTAAAGCTGATGCTTTATATTTTTTCACTGTAACTCATTTGTATGCTGGGTGTATATGTCATATACAGAGATTTAGAGGAGTTCGTGAGCAACTCCTCCTTCAGTAAGAATGCCTCTCACTTTTCCTGCATGTAGACAACCATTTTAGTTCTATAAAGGACTAACTGTACTAAGGGTTGGGGGGGGGGAGGAAGCGTAGTTATTGAATTTTAATTATATCTATTTATTGTACATGAGTCTGTTTTGCATAAGGACATTTTCATATAAATGTATGTTTAAACATGTGTTCATTTAATTTCCCTTTCATATTACCTTTTTATTTAAAATTCTGTTTAAGGATTTGTTTATTTTGTGCATATATGTGTTCTGCTTCCATGTTTTTATCTATACAAGCTGTTCATGCAGTGCCCATGTAAGCCAGAAGAGGGCGTTGGATACCCCTGGAATTGGGAGTTTACACAGTTAGCCACCATGTGGGTGCTAGGGATTGACCAAGGTGCTAAAAGAGCTGCTGGTGTTCTTAACCCCCTTCACTCCTTCTGCTAGCTTCCTTTATCTCTTACATAGTGTTGCTTCTGCTTTCACATCATAATATAATACATCATTTTATGTATCTATGTAAAAATCTAATAACTACATATGAGAGAAAGCAAGATCTTTGAGTTTCTGAGGCTGGCTTAATTTGATAATCTTTGGTTTCTTTCATTTCCCTCAGTGATACAACTTTGTTCTTTTTTTTTTTTTTTTTGGTTTTTTGAGACAGGGTTTCTCTGTGTAGTTCTGGCTGTCCTGGAACTCACTCTGTAGACCAGGCAGGCCTCGAACTCAGAAATCCACCTGTCTCTGCCTCCCAAGTGCTGGGATTAAAGGCGTGCGCCACCACTGCCCGGCCATAATTTTGTTCTTTATGGCTGAAAAAAAGAAATGGCATTGTGTATTGTATAACAATTAGATCCTGTTTTTAAGTTCAATTTGCTGATCTTATCTTTTGGTTGGGGAATTAATTAGACTATTAGCAGTAAACATTATTATTGGAATGTATCTATTTTATTGATCCTGTAGTTTGGGTGTTTTCTTATTCCTCTTTTGCTCAACTACTGTTTGTAATGTAGTTTATTCTTTCTTCTAGATGTCTGGATATTATCTTTTCTCAGTCTGAAGAATTCCTTCAAGTATCTTCTGTAGGGCTAGTTTAGTAGTTAAGAATGTCTTTATCTGAAAGTCTCTTGTGGAATGTTTTTCTTTCTCTTTTGATTGTTACATAGCTATATTAGGTGTTGTATGCTGGTTCACAGTTGTTATCTTTCAGAGCTTGAAGTGCATCTTCCCAAGCCCTCCCATCTTAGTTTCTGTTGAGACATCTGCAGTTACTCGGCTAGGCCTGTGTTTGCATGCAGCTTGCCATCTCTCTTGTGCAGCTTCTAGAATGCTTTTTTTGTTCTGTATATTGAGTGTTTCCACTATAATGAAATGAGAAGGTTCTTCTCTGGTCTTGTCTGTTTGGACTCTGAAGCATCATTAGTTGAATAGGCATGTCTTTCCCTAGGCTCAGGAACTTTCTGCTATGATTTTCATTAGACTATTTTTTACACCGTTAGCATGAATCATTTTTTATGCTCATGTTTTGCAGATTTGGTCTTTTATAGTGTACCACAGATCTCAAATGTTCTGCTAATATCATCCAGTTGATTTATTTTGCAGTTTCTGAATGCTCCATTTCCTATACTTTGTCTTAAGCCCAGATACTGCATTTTCCCTTGAGCCATTCTATTAGTGGGGCTTTCTATATATTTTTTATTTGATAACCTGAGTTTACTCTTTCAAGTGGCTTTTTTAAAAACATAGTGTCTCTGTGCCTTTATTGAATATAAATTCCTATCCATACCTAACTTCCTTACTTCATTAGGCTGTTTGTGTTCTCTTGGAATTTGTCCAGGAATTTACTGATATCCTCTTTGTCTTTGGCTGTACTTAAAATCCTTAGTACACCCCTAAAAGTAGAACAGTGTCTGTAGAAACAGTCATCATTATCGAAGGGTAGGCCCACTGTGAACAAATAACAACAAATACACAATTCCCCTTAAATGCCAATCATAAAAACAGCACGGGAACACTGAAGGTCTATTGTGTATTAAAATACTAGTCAGCTATGTGTATGCATGAAAAGGAAAATGGTAGAAGATTAATGATTAGTATTGAATTGGTTGGAAAAGTGAAAAGGGAAAATAGGTGTCAGTGAAGCAGTTTTAGTTAAGAGTAGACTAGGTGAGGAAGTGGAGTGATGGGGTGGCTTGACCTGGCTCCATGGTTAAGAGTGCTTGCTGCTCCTCCTGAGGACGGGAGTTTAGTTCCCAGCATCCTCAGAGACCCAGTGCCTCTGGCATCCTTGGGCACCTGCACTCAACATGTGTGTCCATATGCAGAAACGCATGCTATACATAAGTAAAAATAATAAAGGTAAATCTTAAAAATAGACACAGAATCAGACAACTTAAAAGCTGTGAAGAGTCCCAGCTGTCAGGAGGCTGAGACACAGGTCCCGCACAGCAGTCTGCTAGCCCGTCTGCTGTGGACAAGCCTATCAGAGTAGAGATAAAGAAGGGGGCGAGCAGGACAGAAGGACAGCGTTGGTCTGCTAAGTTAATGTTTGCTATGAAACACAAGGAATCCGCATGAAGGGGAGAGCAGGATGGGATGTAGGAACTGAGTGCCTTCTCCATGACTGCTGCTCGCTGCCGTGCACCTGGACGTCTGTCACTCTCCAGGGTGTCCTTCCCATGTGAGGTCACAGATGCTCATTCTGTCAGTGGGCATCCATCACAGGTCTGCTTATACACAATTGTCACACCTGAGGGCAGGCCTTCAGAAGTCCAGTTTCAAATGCTTGTTTTGCTCTTGGGCTGACCTTCCAGATATCCAGGGTGTGTCACCTGACACAAGTGTGTGTGTTATTCTAAACACTGGGTTGATACCTCAACCAGGTATCCATTTCACTGAATATTGCATGAATCTGATTCCAATTTCTTCTTTGTAGTCTATAGGAATTCTGGCCAGGTGTCAGCATTTAGTTCCATGACATTTTCCGGGGGAGAGGGGTATGAGGGGACAGAATTAAGCTGCTGACTCAGCAGAGAGGATGTTTGTTTGTTTAATGTTCATGTATGTAAGTATGTGTAAGTACAGATGGGTGCCCTCAGAAGCCAGAAGAAGAAGACATCAGATCTCCTGGAGCTAGAGTTACAGGTCACTGTGAGCCACTCAAGGTGGGTGCTGGGAACCAAATTTGAGTCCTGAGGAAAAGCACTAAGTGCTCGTAAGTGCTGACCATCTCTCCAACCCCAAGAATCTTATTCTGAAATGTGCTTTGTGGCTACTTCCATGAGTGCCCAGAGTAAAGGACTTTTTTCTAGGATCTCCTCCTTTTGTCATTGCTGTAGGCAACTGTCTTAGTTCCTTCAGACCAGTAAGTCAGCATTCATCTTGCAAGACACATGGAGTAACAAGACCCTGAATCTTGGGTGCTTTGGTCCTGGGCTTCTTACCTTCTTTGTTTAAAGGCTTTCTGACAACATATTGGTAGACATCATCTTCTTTAGAGAGATTTAAAAACTTTTGGATTCTACTTGCTCTTTTAGGTCCCAACCGATGAGGCACAGTAGTATCTGTCAGTCCAGGAATATCCTTCTCACCTTTTTAAACAATAACCAAGTTGAGAACACTCAGATTGGCATCCAGGAACAGACTTAGGTTTCCTTTCTCCAGTTCTCCTTGGTCTATAACAAGAACCCCCTTACTCAATGGCAGGCATACTTTGCCATGGGTCAAAACTCCTTACTTCTTGGGAAAACCTTGTTTGTCATTCCTATAAAAAATCCAGACCACATAGCCCTTCCACTGTTCACCCAGAGTGTCAGCAGCTGCTCCTGTGGCCGGGCGCGCCCTTCTCATGGAGTGTATAGAGCTTGTGTTCATCACACACATCACTGAGGCTCTGGTGGCCAGTGGCAGGGAAGGAGATACTCGGAAAAGACGCCCCAGTACAAAAACTTTCATGTTCTTTCTTTTTTCTTCTTCATGTATGTCTACATATTCTTGTATGTGCACATATACATGTGTGTGCAGGTGGAAGCAGAGTTTGATGTTGAGTGTCCTCCTCAGTCACTCCATGCCTGTCACTGAACCTGGAACCTGTCTTGAGTAGACTGAACAGCATACCCTGGGTATCCTGTACAGTGGTGGGCTCCTTGCGTAGGCCCACCTGGAAACAGGTCCTCCTCACACTTGCAGTTAACCCCTCTCTGACGCCAGCTCCCTGCTCTGCTTTTTTCAGTTTCTCCTTTTGGGGTGTTCCCACACCTCTCTGGTACTGTTGTTACCCAGCTCTCCTCAGTTATTTCCCTGGTGATTCTACATACTACACCTGCATGTCATCCACCATCTTGGATCCTTAATTAAAATACAGTTACCATTGTTAACTTACTTTGCATCAGCAAAATGTGGTCATAAGAGAAAGTTTTCAGGACCTTATACAAATTTGTTTTTGTATTCCTAACAGGTGTTCCTATAAAAGTATTTGGAATCTTACCAAATAAACATGAAAGACGAGTACTTTGGAAAATTCTGTTTGATCTGTATTCCTGCGAATCTATATACAGATATGGACGAGTAGAACTGAATATATTTATTAGTGAAAAAGAATTCCGGGTGCGTTGTTGAAAGATAATTGGTATCATTGCTTTCAAAGAGTGCTATAATATTCTCACAAGCTTCAGCTGCATTCTGATTTGGGGGTTCCTGACATTTGAGAGTTCTAAGATTATGAAGTTATGTGACACAATCTTTAGAGTCGAGTTAAGGCTTTAATTTTTTTTTTATTAAACATGTAAGATGGACTGTTTTAATTATTTGACAGTTTACCTTCAGTGGCATTAAATATATTTATATCATACACCCAGTACTTGCTGTTTAGCTCTAAAACTTTTAGACATTTCACTGAACACTTGACTCCTACCCTCCCATTTCCTCAGGCTCTAGTGGCCATTGTCCTGGACTAGCTGTGACCTTGGCTTGGAGTCACACTACATTTGTCTTTTTGTGGCTGACTGACTTCACTTAGCCTGACACCATCAAGGCTCATCTGGGTTGCAGTGTGTTCAAATTTCATTTTCTTTTTACTGAATAGTATTCTGCTGTCTGTATTCACCAAAATGTATCTATTCATTCATAATGAAAGAACACTTAGCCACTTCCACCTCTCAAATATTATGAATAAAGCAGCCACATACATGAGTTTATAGTGTTTTTACAACTTCTTGTTTTCAGGCTGTGGCAGGGGTAGTGAGCAGGTGGGTGAGGAGAGAGTGAGGCCAGCCTCTGATGCCGTTGCTCGGGGGCTGTCTGCCATCTTTTTGATTCTTTTCTTTGTTTACCTCTGCTTTGTTTATTCATTGATTTGCCTATTTGAGACGGGGTTCTCACTAGGACTTGTAGTTTGCCAATTTGGCTAGACTAGTTGACTAGCAAACCCCAGGAATCCTTCTGTCTCCACCTCCCCAGCCCTGAGTTATGGGCTTGATGAGGCCAGATAAGGGCATCAGATCCTTTGTGTCTAGAATGACAGTCGGTTGTGACCTGAGTCCTCTTGAATCTGGGTCCACTGAAAGAGCATCCATTGCTCTTAACTACAGAACCGTCTTTCTGGCCTGCAGTATTTGTTGTTGTTGCTGTTTGTTTTCATTTTCTTTTTATTTAGAAGTGTGTATTTATGTGCAAGTTACTTAGCAGAGCTAGAAGGTATTGGATTCCCTGGAACTAGGGTTACAGACTTAACAATTATTTGTTTGTTTGTTTTTCAAGACAGGGTTTCTCTGTGTAGCCCTGGCTGCCCTGGAACTCACTCTGTAGACCAGGCTGGCCTCGAACTCAGAAATCCGCCTGCCTCTGCCTCCCAAGTGCTGGGATTAAAGGTGTGCGCCGCCACTGCCCAGTCAAGACTTAACAATTCTTGATGCACGATTTAATAACTCATTCTTATAAGGTGTGGCTGGCCCTTTGCTGTGATGAGAAACAAATTCCAGTCCTATGGAAGAAACCACTCCAGCTCATATACAGTCAATTGTATATGTTGCCATTTGTTTTTAAAAAGAAAAACTACTTAAAAGTACTTATGGTTAATATTTTTTACTTAGTTCTCTTTTATGTTTGTTTGTTGAGACAGAGATTATGTAGACCTGTCTATCCTGGAACTCACAAAGAGCCTCCTGCCTCTTCCTCCTGAGAACTAGGGTTAAAGACCATGCCTGGCCAATTCTCATCTTTTAATTTAAATTTTAGATGCTATTAAGATGTTTCAGTTAAATTCCAACATTTGATATTTATTAAGATTATATGTGACACAATTTTGTTTGTTTGTTTTTACTAGAAACTAATAGCGACTCCTAAAAGGCCAGATTTATATCAAGTATTGGGTGTGCTTTGGCAAGTGGCTTGTGAAATTAAGTTTCTTCACATGGTGAGTGAAGTTTTTTCTGTTTGTTTGGTTTTTGTTTTTGTTTGTTTGTTTGTTTGCTTGTATTCAGTTTTTTGAGACAGGGTTTCTCTGTGTAGTCCTGGCTGTCCTGGAACTCACTCTGTAGACTAGGCTGGCCTCAAACTCAGAAATCCGCCTGTCTCTGCCTCCCAAGTGCTGAGATTAAAGGCGTGCTCCACCACTGCCTGGTGTGAGTGAAGTTTTAATGCCAGAAGAACTGTGTTACTCTGGTTGGTAAGTGTAGACCGTGCACTAAAGGTTTAAAATATTAATTTCATTGTTTTTGACTTGTTTACTTTTGTTTTATTTTGAAATAGAGTGTGACTATGTACTCCTACCTGGCGTGGAACTTCTTAATCCTTATGTAGATCAGAGTGGCCTTGAATTGAGAGATTCTCCTGTCTCCACCTCCTGATTAAAGGCATATGTTATTACCAGCTCTTGAAAGGAGATTAGCATTGACACTTGTTTGGCAACTTCTCTCTCTTATGAAAGTACAATGACTGGCTCTTGATGAAACTAGGAAACTCTGTTTGTTTCAGATAGGCTCTATGGAAAGGAAAGAAATGTTATGAGTCACTATTAGAGTTATAGCCCAGAAATCCATTACTAGTGACACTGATGACATTTCTGCTTTTCTTTTTCTTTTAATATGGTGAATATTATATTGCTTATCACTGTATTTAGCTTGATACATACCCTTTACCTTTTATACAAAATGTGCTATTTGAATATCCAAATTCAATAGTCAGTCACTGTTAACACTTATTGAGCATTGCCAGATGTGACTTGAAGCGATTTATCCTTTTATTTGTGGAGGGTTTTGGATTTGAGGCAAGTGCTTAAATATAAAGCTACAAACCTTAGCTCTTAGGTATGAGACTTTTTTTGTTTTGCTTTTTAGTTTTTGCTTTAGTTTTAGTTTTTGTTTTATAGGGTAGGGTGGACTGGGTCTCTTGTAGCCTTTACCTCCAGAGAGTATATACCACCACTCCCAGATTTACATAGGTAGATTTTTTTTTTAAGGCAATAGTAACTTGAGATGTTTTGACAAAAGAGAGTTAACTGAAAGAGTAGAGGAGCCTTGGTTTTCAGTTGTGATATATAAACTAAACAATATCTCGGAGTGGAGGAGATGTTTCAGTTGGAACAGCACTTGCAGTACAAACAGGAGGACCTGAGTTCAGTTCCCAGCATGCACGGAAAAAGTCCAGGCCTGGGGAGGCAGAGGCAGGAGGATCCTTAGTCCCACAGAACCCACAAGGCCCAGGTTCATGAGAGACCCTGACTTGAGAATAACGTGGAGAGAATGATAGAGGAAGACAGCTGAGAACGGCCTCCAACCTCCACACGCAAACGTCCACATGTGCACCTGCGCCACACACTGACCTACAGAAAGAAAGAGCTTGTCTGTTTTTCTTCCTCCAGGAGCCTTGGTCATCGTTTAGTGTACATATGGAAAATGGACACTTAGAAAAGTCAAAGCACTCGGTAAGGACAAACGAGGCCGCTCCCTTTATCATGTAGTCAACAGATTTTCAGTAATCAGATTGTGCATACATACGTGTGTATAAATGTGTGATTAGGGGAAAAGGAGGAATAAGGAACAAGCTAGTTGGTAATTCTTCTGTATCCTTGGGTCTGGTGGTGGTGTCCCTTTGAGCACAGCAGGAGCTCCCTTCATGCTGGGGTTGTGTTTGAGCTCTGATTTTCACTAGAGTCACAAGTCAGTCGACTTTAGCTGTCCTGGTTAGATAAAGGACGATGTTAGAACTTCCAGGAAGTGGTAAGTGGTTTACTGGACACACATTGAGTTTGCCCTGCAGCTGAGAAATGGAGTTGGACCCTGCTATGAATCCTCCTCCATTGCAAACAGTAAGCAGCTGCTCTTGACTTACACAGGATAAAAATCTCATCCCTCTAGGTTACTTTCTGTTCAGAACTCTGACATGGCCTAGGTTACAAGGTGTTACCCTGTCAACAAAGAAGGCCTAGAGATGTGTAGGAGCAGCAACTATTCTGAAGAAATAAGTAGTCTTGGTAAATAAGAAGAAATAAGCGTTCTTGGTAATAGTTTATGACTGACAAAAATTATTTTTCTTTCTGTCTAGGAATCATTAAATTTACTGAAACAAAACCTATATCTTGTTCGAATGACTCCTCGTAGGACTTTATTTACAGAAAACCTAAGTCCTTTGAACTATGATATATTTTTCCACTTGGTAAAGCACTGCTTTGGGAAACGCAATGCCTCAATAGTACACCATTTACGGTAAATAGAAATTCAATAAAGATGAGTATAAAAGTAGTGATTTACTGAGATTGTCTCCTGTGTTAGAAGGTGGCTTTTCACATCTTGATGTAGAGTAAGGTGCCCATGTTTCACTTACCTGTTAAAAATACTTCCTTCTGGGCCAGAGGGATGGTTGGGAAGCAGTTCACAAGCACCTGTAATTCCAGTTCTGGGGCTCTAGCACCCTCTGCTTGCCTCTGTGGGTACCACATACATGGCATACACACACCTACCCATAAGATAAAAGTAAAAAAACAAAAACAAACAAAAAACCAGTAAATAAAAGTACCCTTTCTCCCTGCTGTGCGTTGTGCTTTCCATACACTCCAAGTTTCATTTATCTCCCTGCTGTGCGTTGTGCTTTCCATACACTCCAAGTTTCATTCATTTTCATCTTCAAGCAGCAAACCTAGAATACTGAATATTTTATTTTTATGTGTATGTACATGTTTGTGCTGTGCCCATGGAGGCCAGAACAGCATGCTGTATCCCCTGGAGCTGGAGTTAACAGTGACTAAGGGCTGCTTGACATAGGTGCTGAGAACTGAGCTCAGGGCCCCAAGAAGAGCAGCAAGTACTCTTACTGCAGCCCATGTAATGTAGTCTCTATTATTACCTTGTAACTAGCAGTCCCTAAAATATTGTCAGAAGATGGGAAAGTGTGTGTTAGTTTAATTAATCATCATATATCAATAGGACTGTTGACTAGTAACATTTGAAATTGGGTTTCATGTAGCCCAAGCTAGCCTTAACTCTCTGTACAGCCAGAGGTGACTTTGAACTCCTGCCTCTACTTCCCAAGTGCTGTGATTATGGTGTGCAGATGTGTACCAGCACACTCAGTATTTAGAGATAAAGGATAAGCCTACAATTACAAAAGTTTAAAATGTCAATAAACCTCCAAAAGAAACCTGATTTTCATCTCGCTGTCTTGGGGTGGTGGCCATTTAAATGCAGATATTAAAAGGAAGGAAAGAGAAAAACCCACCAGGTGTGTGTGGTGGCGCACACCTTTAATCGTAGTGCTCAGGATGCAGAGGCAAGTGGGTCTCTATAAATTTGAGGCTAGCCCGGTCTACCTAGTAAGTTCCAGGCCAGCCAAGGCTTTGTGGTGAGACCCTATCTCAAAGTGAAAATAAAAATGATATGTAAACTAGAATTTTTGTGAGAATTATACCATGTTAAAACTTCAATTGGTGATTTTCATTGCAAGTTAGCTCTGCATTTTTAAGAACAACTGTCCTAGTCTCCTGGGTACTGAGATTATAGCCTTAACATGTTTTATGTACGTATTTCTTATCCAAACTGAGTGTGGCATTCATACCTATAATCCCAGTACTTAGGAGGTTAAGGTAAGAGGGTCAGTTCAGTTATCTCTGTATGGAGTTAAGAACGCATATATTATATATAAACTGTGAACTGAATTCAGTTATATGTGTTAGCCATTTTAATTGGACATAGGTGGCAGCTCTCTCAGCTGTAGCTGACAGTTGTGGAAGGGAGTTAAGTGTGTTTGTTTGGTTTCCTCTGCAGTTCACTGAGTTCAGTTGATCCGATTAATATACTGAGGCAGATAAGAAAAAACCCTGGAGACGCAGCTGGTAGAATGTATCCTCACGACTTCAAAAGACTTTTTGAAACTATCGAGCGTTCGGAAGACTGTGTCTTTAAATGGATCTATGACTACTGCTCAGAGGACATTGAGCTCTAGGAAAAAAGTCTACAAGCCATGAATGAGCTGGAGCTGTTTGTTCATTAGTTTTGAAATTATGTGACAAATGAAAACTGAATTTCAAGAAGTTCATGTCCTTTTAACGGAAGAGACTCCTTGTTTGGCACAAATGAAGCAAATAATTTCTTCTCAAGTTGATACCTTTGATGCACAGGAAACCAGTGGCTGCAGATAGTCAAAGTTAAATAGAATAAAAACTTGTCAGTTTGACCAGATGAAATTTGTTTTAAGTTACTCTCTGCTGTAGGTCAATGGTAAAACACATACACAGTATGTCCAAGGTTCTGGTTTTGCTCCCCAGCACAGGAAATTTTTAAAAAAATTTCTATTTACTGTAAAGGCCCATAGGTATGGAGTATTTCCAATTGTAATGTAGTTTACTTAAAAAAAAAAAAAGCCCAAAAATCCTTTGGGCCAAACATATTTAAATATGCACTTTTCACCATTGCCAATTTCATGCGTCTTCCTCCAGTTTCTGTACTGTTACACTTAGAAAATAAATTGATTTGGGCAGACATAGTGGTGTGAGTCCCAGGACTTGTTAGGTAGAGGGCCCATCATCAGTTAAATGCCAGTTTCAACTGTAGAGTTGAGTTTGAGGTCAGTTTGGGCTAAGAAAAGACCCTGTCAAAAAAAACCAAAACAGCATATAAACCTATTTCAGAACGTGATTAGTTTATCTTTTATTATGTTAAAGTGGATTATCAGGTACTATGCAATCCAATTGTTTAAATTTTAAATTGTATGTTTTTAAACGTTCTGAGAAATAAAGAATTTGTATATAGTTTATTTGTGTGTGTGTGTGTGTCTGTCTGTCTTAGGGTTTCTATTCCTGCACAAAACATCATGACCAAGAAACAAGTTGGGGAGGAAAGGGTTTATTCAGCTTACACTTCCACATTGCTGTTCATCACCAAAGAAAGTCAGGACTGGAACTCAAGCAGGTCAGGAAGCAGGAGCTGATGCAGAGGCCATGGAGGGATGTTACTTAACTAGCTTGCTTCCCCTGGCTTGCTCAGCTTGCTTTCTTACAGAACCCAGGCCCACCAGCCCAGGGATGGCAACCCCCACAATGGGCCCTCCCCTCTTGATCACTAGTTGAGAAAATGCCTTACAGCTGGATCTCATGGATGCATTTCCTCAAGGGAGGCTTCCTTTCTCTGTGATAATTCCAGCTTGTGTCAAGTTGACACACAAAACCAGCCAGTACTCTGTGTTTTCTTTTTTGGTCTCCATATGCATGAGTGAATTTTTAAATTGACCTCAAACTTATTTTCAGTGTCCTCTCATTAATTCTGTCTATGTAACTGAAGTGTCTTGAGGAGCTAAGTGCAGTGGCTGAGCCGTCCAGAGTTGGAGACCAGCATGTTTGGTGTTGGGGTTGGGCACAAGAGAGCAAGATTTTGTCTCAGCCATGAAACCTCTTGCAAGCTAGGGAGGTGGCTCAGTAGAGCTTGATGTACGGTCATGAGGACATAAGCTGAGTTCCCAGCAGACATGTAAAGCTGGGCAACCGTGGTAGGAGTACTGGAGGATGACATGGAGAGGACCTCACAGGAGGATGACTTGGAGAGGAGCTTGCGAGGCAGACAATCTACCAAGTTATGAGCTCTAGGTTCAGTTGAAAAGGCTCTAGAGGCCGGGCAGTGGTGGCGCACGCCTTTAATCCCAGCACTTTGGAGGCAGAGGCAGGCGGATTTCTGAGTTCGAGGCCAGCCTGGTCTACAGAGTGAGTTCCAGGACAGCCAGGGCTACACAGAAAAACCTAAAAAAAAAAGAAAGAAAGAAAAGACTAGAGATCTTGTATCAAAAGATAAACAATAAAGATTTGCCCACCACACCCAAGCTTATGCATATATACCACACAAAAGGGTTTCTGGGATGGGGTATATCTCAGTGGTAGTGGTAGAGTGCCCAGCGTGTGTGAGGCCCTGAGGTCAATCCACTATACTCAGAAAAAAAGGAGGTGGGAGGAATGCCTTGAATTTTCAGATTGTGAAAAACTTCTATGCTCCAAGTCTAGTTTAGAGTTGTGTCTCAGGTGGAGCACTTTATCCAGTTTGATCTTCAGCACAAGAAGAAAATAGAAGTTCAGGCTGCTGGTGCTGCACACCTTTAATCCCAGTGCTTGGAGGGTGCAAGCCGGCTGATATCTCTGAGTTTGAGGCCAGGCTGTTCTACAGAGAAAGTTCCAGGACAGCCAAGGCTACATGTGCACAGAGAAACCATGTCTCAAAAAACCAAAAAGGTTTATGTTAGAAATGTGGTTCAGTTTTGAAACAATTGTCTCAAATGTGTGAGGCCTTAGAGGAAGAACCAAAACAGAAACTGGACTGTCCCTGACCTAAAGGCATGGAATTTAAAGGTACTTTCTTAGAGGCAGGCACTGAGCAACTCAGGTGCTGTGGTGCCTTTCATGTCCTCATTCTCCCAACACATTAAGCTTTTTTTTTTTTTTTTTTTTATTGGATGATTTATTTACATTTCCTATGTTGTCCCCTTACCCCATCCCCCACCACCCCCTCGGAACCCCCAATCCCCTCACCCCTCCTCCTTCTTCTCTGTGAATGTAACCTCTATCTACACCCCCCCCACTCCCACCTCCCCACCCTCAAAATTCCCACCCCCTGGGGCATCCAGCCTTCATGAGGTCAAGGTTCTCTTCTTCCACCTATGCCCAGCAGGGCCCTCCACTTTTACATATTCAGCTGAAGCCCTGGATCCCCCCCTAAGTGCTCCCAGGCTGGTGGTTTAGACCCTGGGAGCTGTGGTTGGTTGGTATTGTTGCTCTCCTCATGGTGCCACAAACCCTTTCAGCTCCTTCAGTCTTCACTCTAACTCCTCTATTGAGAACCCCATGATCAGTTCAATGGCTAGTTGTGAGCATCTGCCTCTGAATATGTCTGACTCTTGAAGGCCTCTGAGGAGATATCCATATCAGGCTCTTATCAGCATGCACTTCCTGTCTTCCACATCAGCATCTACCTTTGGTGATTGCACATGGGATAGATACTCAGGTGGAGTGGTCTTGAGACGGCCCCTCCTTCAGTTTCTGTCCCTCACTTTGTCTCCATATTTGCTCCCTTGAGTATTTTGTTGCTCCTTCTAAGAAGGACCGAATCACCCTCACTTGGTCTTCCTTCTTTATGGGCTTCATGTGGCCTGTGAGTTGCATCTTGGGCATTTCAAGGTTCTAGGCTAATATCCAATAATCAGTGAGTGAATACCATGTGTGTTCTTTTGTGATTGGCTTACCTCACTCAGGATGATAATTTCTAGTTCCATCCATTTACCTAGGAACCTCTCGAATTCATTGTTTTTAATAGCTGAGTAATACTCCATTGTGTAAATATACCACATTTTTTGAATCCATTCCTCAGTTGAAGGACATCTGGGTTCTTTCCAGCTCCTGGCTATTATAAATAAGGCTGCTATGAACATAGTTGAGCATATGTCCTTGTTATATGTTCGAGCATCTTCTGGGTATATGCCTAGGAGTGGTATAGCTGGATCCTCGGGTAATGCTATGTCCAATTTTCTGAGGAACCGCCAGACTGATTTCCAAAGTGGTTGCACCATCTTGCAGTCCCACCAACAATGGAGGAGTGTTCCTCTTTCTCCACACCCTCGCCAGCATCTACTATCACCTGAGTTTTTAATCTTAGCCATTCTGACTGGTGTGAGATGGAATCTCAGGGTTGTTTTGATTTGCATTTCCCTGACGACTAAGGATGCTGAACATTTCTTTAGATGCTTCTCGGCCATTCGAGTTTCTTCTGTTGAAAATTCTTTGTTAAGCTCTATACCCCATTTTTTAATAGGGTAATTTGGTTGTCTGGAGTCTAATTTCTTGAGTTCTTTGTATATATTGGATATTAGCCCTCTATCAGATGAAGGATTGGTAAAGATCTTTTCCCAATTTGTTGGTTGTCGTTTTGTCCTATTGACAGTGTCCTTTGCCTTACAGAAACTTTGCAATTTTATGAAGTCCCATTTGTCAATTCTCGATCTTAGAGCATATGCCATTGGAGTTCTGTTCAGGAACTTTTCCCCTGTGCCCAAGTATTCGAGGCTTTTCCCCACCTTCTCTTCTATTAGTTTCAGTGTATCTGGTTTTATGTGGAGGTCCTTTATCCACATAGACTTGAGCTTTGTACAAGGGGAAAAGAATGGATCAATTTTCATTCTTCTACATGTTGTCTTCCAGTTGAACCAGCACCATTTGTTGAAAATGCTGTCCTTTTTCCACTGGACAGTTTTAGCTCCTTTGTCAAAGATCAAGTGACCATAGGAGTGTGGGTTCATTTCTGGGTCTTCAATTCTATTCCATTGATCTTCCTGCCTGTCTCTGTACCAATACCAGGTAGTTTTTATCACTATTGCTCTGTAGTACAGCTTGAGGTCAGGGATGGTAATTCCTCCAGAAGTTCTTTTATTGTTGAGAATAGTTTTCGCTATCCTGGGTTTTTTGTTATTCCATATGAATTTGAGAATTTCCTTTTCTAACTCTGTGAAGAATTGAGTTGGGATTTTAATGGGGATTGCATTGAATCTGTAGATTGCTTTTGGCAAGATGGCCATTTTTATTATATTAATCCTGCCAATCCATGAGCATGGGAGATCTTTCCATCTTCTGAGATCTTCTTCAATTTCTTTCTTCAGAGACTTGAAGTTCTTGTCATACAGGTCTTTCACTTGCTTGGTTAGATTCACACCAAGGTATTTTATATTATTTGCAACTATTGTGAAAGGTGTCATTTCTCTAATTTCTTTTTCAGTCTGTTTATCTTTCATGTAGAGGAAGGCTACTGATTTGTTTGAGTTGATTTTATAACCAGCCACTTTGCTGAAGTTGTTTATCAGGTTTAGGAGTTCTCTGGTGGAAGTTTGGGGGTCACTTAAGTATACTATCATATCATCTGCAAATAGCGATATTTTGACTTCTTCCTTTCCTATTTGTATCCCTTTGACTTCTTTTTGCTGTCTAATTGCTCTGGCTAAGACTTCCAGTACTATATTGAATAGGTAGGGGGAGAGTGGGCAACCTTGTCTAGTCCCTGATCTTAGTGGGATTGCTTCAAGTTTCTCTCCATTTAGCTTGATGTTGGCTACTGGTTTGCTGTAAATTGCTTTTACTATGTTTAGGTAGGGGCCTTGAATTCCTGATCTTTCCAAGACTTTTATCATGAAGGGATGTTGAATTTTATCAAATGCTTTCTCAGCATCTAGTGAGATGATCATGTGGTTTTTTTCTTTAAGTTTGTTTATATAGTGGATTACATTGATGGATTTCCGAATATTGAACCATCCTTGCATTCCTGGGATAAAACCTACTTGATCATGATGGATGATTGTTTTGATGTGGTCTTGGATTCGGTTTGCTAGAATTTTATTGAGTATTTTTGCATCGATGTTCATAAGGGAGATTGGTCTGAAGTTCTCTTTCTTTGTCGGGTCCTTGTGGGGTTTGGGTATGAGTGTAATTGTAGCTTCATAGAACGAATTGGGTAGTGTTCCTTCTGTCTCTATTTTGTGGAATAGTTTGAAGAGAATTGGTATTAGGTCTTCCTTGAAGGTCTGATAGAATTCAGCACTAAAACCATCTGGTCCTGGGCTTTTTTTAGTGGGGAGGCTTTTGATGACTGCTGCTATTTCCTGAGGGGTTATGGGACTATTTAGATGGTTTATCTGCTCCTGGTTTAACTTCGGTACCTGGTATCTGTCTAGGAAATTGTCCATTTCATCCAGGTTTTCCAGTTTTGTTGAGTATAGGCCTTTGTAGTAGGATC